ATTTGGGTTGAGTAAAATATCACAATATTACTTTCATTTTTTTAATTTGAATTTTAATTTGATACTACAGTTTTTTTTTTAGAATGCGTACTCTTAGCGCCTTTTTTATCTTTTTTAAAAAGGTAATTTTGTACTGATATAACGACATCAATTTTCAAGACAATTATCATGATAATAATAATAATGATAATGAGGAACAGAATTGCGAAACGGACGTGTTATGGGACGAATATGAAAATAAATATCTCTATGCTCCCAGATCTACCGATTCTGAATCTTCTGAACAAGAAGACAATATCAATGAAGCTAATTTGCCACAATTTCAAGAGAATGAAGAACAAGAGGGTAATGAGCCAATGAGAAAATTTCTTACCGACTGGGCAATTCGATATCATATCAACTATGATGCGTTATCACAATTATTAAGACGGTTACGACAGCATGAGTGCGCTGAATTTTCCAATTTACCTATAGATTCACGGACACTTCTGCGAACACCTTTAAAAACCACATTACGAGAAGTTCCACCGGGAGGGTATTACCATTTTGGTTTAAAAAATGGCATATTAAAAATACTATCCTATAATACAACTGGTGACCTTACAAATTACATTAATTTGCAACTTAGCATTGACGGACTACCACTTTGGAAATCAATGCCAGATCAGTTGTGGCCAATTTTAGTATCCGTAATACCGTATGGAAATGTTTTCACTGTTGGAATTTATTGTGGAAAAGAAAAACCCGCCAGCGCAAATAATTTTTTTAAAGAATTAGTAGAAGAAGCAAAAATATTATGTTCGGACGGAATTATATTCAATGGTCGACATTTCTCTTGCTATATACTTCAATTATATGTGATACACCAGCAAAGTCGTTTGCGTTAAGCGTAATATCACATACGGGTTACAGAAGTTGCACAAAATGCACAGTTGAAGGAGATTACATTGAAAACCGAGTTTGTTTTCCACTGCTTTGGCGCACCGCGAAGAACAGATGAAGATTTTAAAAATAAAATTGATGAATCATATCATAAGGAAGGCATTACATGTAATTTGTTGGAAATACCAAATTTTGGTTCAGTTACGAATGTACCCGAAGATTACATGCACCTAGTTTGTTTGGGAGTCGCTCGTAGATCGTTAAACTTGTGGTTATACGGTGACTTAAAATATCGTCTTATACAGGACCTCTTATACAGGAACAAATATCAGCACGCCTAGAAAAGGAGTTGTTACCATGCCTTCCAATTGAATTTGGACGAAAACCAAAGTCGCTAAGATATGCTAGAATGTGGAAAGCTACGGAATATCGCCAATTCTTGTTCTACACGGGTCCTGTAGCTTTAAAATCAAAGTTGCGACCTGATCTGTATAATCATTTTGTATCTTTGCACGTGGCCGTAAGAATAATGTGCTGCGAAAAATTACACTCTTTTACCATATGCACAACAGCTGCTGGAACATTATGTTTCTTCTTTCGCAAAATTATACGGACGTCACGATGTCTCGCACAATGTCCACGGGCTTGTACATCTTGTTGAGGATGTTGAAAAATTTGGTTCTTTAGATGGTTTTAGCGCATATAAATTTGAAAATTATATGCAAACATTTAAAAGACTTGTAAGAAAACCCAATCAACCCTTACAGCAAATTGTACGACGAATAGCTGAAATGGAAAATAATACAATTGTTATTAAGGCTTCGCTGGAAACTGAATTCAAAATTGATCTCAAATCAGAGCATCACGCTGGGCCTCTTATTGCACGTTGTAGTAATCCTCAATACAAATTAATAAGACGTGGAAATGTGACGCTAAAGGCAGGCAGCAATGCAAATTGCTGCTGTGGCTAAAGTTGTGGGAAAATCGTTCTTATAGAAAACATACCATATTGTTTGCAGATAAAGAGTTTCGTAATTATAGGACGAAAATTTCTTCATCGAGATGACGTTTATAAACAACCTTGCAATTCTTCATTAATTGGGATATATGCAATACATACACTATCAGAATTACAAATATGACTTTTACAAACAGTTGTTATGAAGTATGTCAAACTTTCACTTGCAGAAAACAATTTTGCTGTATTTCCTTTATTGCATACTAACATGTAAATGCCATTTAAATATAGATTTGCAAGAATAATGTCATCACCGGAGAATAATTATTATGCCATCCTCGAGTTCTCCGATGGATTGCAAGTAATACCAAGCAATTGGTTAATTGATGACATGTCAATGGCTCGATGATCCAATTTCACTAACGTACAGCGCTACGAGAAGGCTATTCGGAACATGGATCCACCTGAGGAATCATGGACGAAACTTCCAATTATAGCAATAATAGCCAAGGACTGTAAGTATAAATTCTTCGTAATAATTTATGCAATACATTATACATTTTTTGTAAGAATGTACTTCGCATGTATATGTTTTCTTCTTCTTTAACACACACATTTTTTATTGCTAAAATAATCACATATTTTCTATGATGGTTTTCGGGTTAAGAGTGCGTATCTGCATCACTACAATGCCGACGTTTCACAAACTTATAAAATGTAAAATGACAATTCCTTAAAACGCGGAAGCTTTAAATATTTCAAATGCATATATTTTTTATGTATATTAAATACTTGTATAATTAATTATTATTTATAGCATAATTATAATATTTGTTTAATAAATTATTATTTATAGCATCATTTGAGAAAGCTAAGGCCAAGCTGAAAGATGCTAAATTATTAACGGATTTTGATAAGGATTCAGACGTAAGAGCGGACATGTTAAAGCGATCTAGAAAAAGGAGAGCACGAGTCAGCATCAGCAGTTGCGACGAGCAGGAATTCGATGGAACACAAATTCAATTAGACCCTTTTCCCAATCCTCCTCAAACCATCAATTCAAAGAATATTTTGATTAACACTTATAAGGGAAAGAAAGAGAAAGGTAATAATTCAGAGTAAAAAATACAATTTTGTCAGATTTACGCAGAAATGTTATAAATATTAATCGCAGGTTAATTACTAATTTTATTTAAAGTTAGTAAATTGCCCGACAAGATTCCTTATTCTGAAGTTATACTGTACAATTTTGTAGTATTTTAAGAACATAAAATATAGATGCTTTTTATTTATTATTAAAAATTCCTATTATTCCTTCGAAAATGATGTTTTATTTTAATTTCCAGCTGTTTTAAAAAATGGTAATCAACGCTTGACCGTAACTGATACAATGCCGCAGATAACAAACGATATAGCCTTCAGTAAATCTTGTATCTCACAAAGCATGCCAGTGAAAAAAAGTACAGAGAATTATTTTTATTCTTAAAACAAACTTCTTTATTGGCTTTATATGTTTTTTCTGTTTTTGTTTCATTACAAAATTGCCGACAAATGAACCGAGTTATGCATCCAACAGCAGAAGTGTCAATTTGCAGCAGGATGCATTATTGAATAAATATACGAAAGAAAAAATGCAGAATTTGTAGGAAACAAAAATAAGCCTGATACCGTTGTACGCCACATTTATTCTCATGCAACTGAAAATGAAGCTACAAATGTAATGACACAACCAACTTTGGCTATTGATAATAGTATTATTTTTTAATTTCCCGAATTCGAACAACAAAAAGGAAATGCATCTGCTTTGAGAGAACATTCGCCAAGTCATACATCATTTAATGATCAAAGTAAGCAAATTTATATTTCATTAAAATTCATCTTTTCTTTGCATTGAAGAAATTTGTTACATTGTTCTTTTTATTATAGGTTTGAACGCGTTTCAACGCTTCGTCGTGAGAACATTAACTAACATAAAATTTGATATTCAGAATTTGTAAAGGGAAGTAAAAACAATTAAGAAAGAATTATTTGCAGCATTGAATCAGAAATTGGAACAGGTTCAATTAGAGGAAAAGAAGGAGAATGTACTGATAAATCTTTCTCTCAAGGCTATTGATAACGATTTATGGGAATTGGAAGAAAATTTGACAAACAGGGAATTCAGAAGTCAAGTTATAAAGGAGCTTCAGCAAACCGGTGGGAATACCTTCAAAAAGATGTCCATCCAGTTAATACGTAAATTGTTTTCTGACGATTTGGCAGAAAAATTTAGTTGGATTGGTGGCAAAAAGAAAGAAGTTTTTTTGGACTTGCGTATTTGTAAAGTAATTCTGTGTAAGTTTCCTACTTTATAGTGTACTACCTGATAAAAAAATTCTGTATAATTATACAAATATGAATCGATTTTGGCATTTTTGGCCTAGAATAATAATATGTAAGAACATGCAATCTATATAAAAATGATATCTAGTATTTGTATAATCATAATTTCTATTATATAATTATGCATAATTATTCCTGGCTAAGATCCATACATATTTTTAACATAATTGTGCATAATGTTTAATTATGTATAATTTTTTCCTGTGCCATCCTTAAAATAATACGACTTATTTAGAAAATTATATAATTTTCTGATGTGGTCGGTAAACAGTTTACAGATGCAACCGAGGATGACATTGCTACATCAATAAAAACTTGGCTAGCGCACGCCAAAGAACGCGCATCTAAACAAAAGCCCAATAATAATGAGAATGCGGTTTAGTCCTTTTTTAAAAATATTATTAAGTGTTTCGTTTATAATTTTCAAAGAAAAATAGCTGATTTTGTTTTATATTTTTACGATATTTAGACTGTGATACCGATGTTCGAATTTTGATAGGTTTTGCATATATAAATATTATTAAAAGTATATATACATATGATTTAATTCATACATATATTTTAATTTTGTTCAAAAGTTAACAGCTAGTACTGTGTTACTTAATAAATATAGTGCAATGTGTATAACCATTGTTATATTTTAAACGCTTGCAATAAATGAATAAAATAATTATAATTATTACCATTATAGTATTATACGTAATTATTTATATTATTTTTTATTAAATGTATAATAAATTAGTATATATATATTCGGGCATATTTAGAGAATATTCTATATACATATATTTGATAAAAAATAAATAAATAAATAAATATATATATATATATATTGTGACGCCGCAGTCCGCTGCGGCGAGGCAGCGTCCCGCCGCCGTCACAAGGCGCGGGTTCGCGCCCCTTTTGCCGGACCGACAGCTGCATCGTTAAGAGCGAGACCGAGATCTCCGGGAGGCCCGAATTTAAATCGACGTA